ACACAGACTCACCACACAGACTCACCACCACACAGACTCACCACCACACAGACTCACCACACAGACTCACCACACAGACTCACCACAGACTCACCACACAGACTCACCACACAGACTCACCACACAGACTCACCACACAGACACCCACGGACTCACCACACAGACTCACCACACAGACTCACCACAGACTCACCACACAGACTCACCACACAGACTCACCACACAGAGATCCACAGACTCACCACCACACAGACTCACCACACAGACTCACCACACAGACTCACCACCACACAGACTCACCACCACACAGACTCACCACACAGACTCACCACACAGACTCACCACCACACAGACTCACCACACAGACTCACCACACAGACACCCACGGACTCACCACACAGACTCACCACACAGACTCACCACACAGACTCACCACAGACTCACCATAGACTCACCACACAGACCCACCACACAGACCCACCACACAGACTCACCACCACACAGACTCACCACACAGACTCACCACACAGACTCACCACACAGACACCCACGGACTCACCACACAGACTCACCACACAGACTCACCACACAGACACCCATAGACGCACACACAGAGACCCACAGACTCACCACACAGAGACCCACAGACCCACCACACAGAGACCCATAGACTCACCACACAGAGACCCACAGACTCACCACACAGACTCACCGCACAGACACCCATAGACGCACACACAGAGACCCACAGACTCACCACACAGAGACCCACAGACCCACCACACAGAGACCCACAGACTCACCACATAGAGACCCACAGACTCACCACACAGAGACCCACAGACCCACCACACAGAGACCCACAGACTCACCACACAGAGACCCATAGACTCACCACACAGAGACCCACAGACTCACCACACAGACTCACCACACAGACTCACCACAGACTCACCATAGACTCACCACACAGACCCACCACACAGACCCACCACACAGACTCACCACCACACAGACTCACCACACAGACTCACCACACAGACTCACCACACAGACACCCACGGACTCACCACACAGACTCACCACACAGACTCACCACACAGACTCACCACACAGACACCCACGGACTCACCACACAGACTCACCACACAGACTCACCACAGACTCACCACACAGACTCACCACACAGACTCACCACACAGAGATCCACAGACTCACCACCACACAGACTCACCACACAGACTCACCACACAGACTCACCACCACACAGACTCACCACCACACAGACTCACCACACAGACTCACCACACAGACTCACCACACAGACTCACCACAGACTCACCACACAGACTCACCACACAGAGACCCACAGACTCACCACCACACAGACTCACCACACAGACTCACCACACAGACTCACCACACAGACTCACCACCACACAGACTCACCACCACACAGACTCACCGCACAGACACCCATAGACGCACACACAGAGACCCACAGACTCACCACACAGAGACCCATAGACTCACCACACAGAGACCCACAGACCCACCACACAGAGACCCATAGACTCACCACACAGAGACCCATAGACTCACCACACAGAGACCCACAGACTCACCACACAGACTCACCACACAGACTCACCACAGACTCACCATAGACTCACCACACAGACCCACCACACAGACCCACCACACAGACTCACCACCACACAGACTCACCACACAGACTCACCACACAGACTCACCACACAGACTCACCACACAGACACCCACGGACTCACCACACAGACTCACCACACAGACTCACCACACAGACTCACCACACAGACTCACCACACAGACACCCACGGACTCACCACACAGACTCACCACACAGACTCACCACAGACTCACCACACAGACTCACCACACAGACTCACCACACAGAGATCCACAGACTCACCACCACACAGACTCACCACACAGACTCACCACACAGACTCACCACCACACAGACTCACCACCACACAGACTCACCACACAGACTCACCACAGACTCACCACACAGACTCACCACACAGACTCACCACACAGACTCACCACACAGACACCCACGGACTCACCACACAGACTCACCACACAGACTCACCACAGACTCACCACACAGACTCACCACACAGACTCACCACACAGAGATCCACAGACTCACCACCACACAGACTCACCACACAGACTCACCACACAGACTCACCACCACACAGACTCACCACCACACAGACTCACCACACAGACTCACCACACAGACTCACCACAGACTCACCACACAGACTCACCACACAGACTCACCACACAGACTCACCACACAGACACCCACGGACTCACCACACAGACTCACCACACAGACTCACCACAGACTCACCACACAGACTCACCACACAGACTCACCACACAGAGATCCACAGACTCACCACCACACAGACTCACCACACAGACTCACCACACAGACTCACCACCACACAGACTCACCACCACACAGACTCACCACACAGACTCACCACACAGACTCACCACAGACTCACCACACAGACTCACCACACAGAGACCCACAGACTCACCACCACACAGACTCACCACACAGACTCACCACACAGACTCACCACACAGACTCACCACACAGACTCACCACAGACTCACCACAGACTCACCACACAGACTCACCACACAGACTCACCACAGACTCACCACCACACAGACTCACCACACAGACTCATCACCACACAGACTCACCACACAGACTCACCACACAGACTCACCACCACACAGACTCACCACCACACAGACTCACCACAGACTCACCACCACACAGACTCACCACCACACAGACTCACCACAGACTCACCACAGACTCACCACAGACTCACCACCACACAGACTCACCACCACACAGACTCACCACAGACTCACCACAGACTCACCACACAGACTCACCACAGACTCACCACAGACTCACCACACAGACTCACCACACAGACTCACCACAGACTCACCACCACACAGACTCACCACACAGACTCATCACCACACAGACTCACCACCACACAGACTCACCACACAGACTCACCACAGACTCACCACAGACTCACCACAGACTCACCACACAGACTCACCACACAGACTCACCACAGACTCACCACACAGACCCACCACACAGACTCACCACACAGACTCACCACAGACTCACCACAGACTCACCACAGACTCACCACAGACTCACCACACAGACTCACCAGCACCACGTCACTCACCTGGCCGGAGTTGGCGACCGCCACCTCCGCCACGCCGGTGTTGGGGTCCAGCCGGGCCATGGCCGACCTCCGTGCCTGGGCCGACGGCAGGAAGCAGTCGGGGCAGACGCAGTTGTCCCTGAGCCAGACGTAGGGGTAGCGGCGCCTCGCTCCCCCGTGCCAGAGCACCTCCAGCGTGCCCTCGTCGTCACGGCGAAGCACGCCTGTAGGGGGGGTGGGGGGTGGGGAATCCCGGCACACCACGTCGAGTATACCCCCCGCAAGTCGTCCCTCCGGCGCACGTGCACGAGACCCGACAGGGATCGCAACAAAACCCGGGGTGTCATCGTCACGCACCTGAGACCTCCTCCTGCTGCTCCTCCTGCTGCTGCTCCTGCTGCTGCTCCTGCTGCTGCTGCTCCTCCTGCTCCTCCGCCACGGCCGTCCCGTGCCCCGGCGTTGGGGGCCCCGTGCCGTAGGCCCTCCGAGCCGCCAGAGGGCCCCACGCGGCCGCCCAACGCGGGGGCAGGAGGGGAGCGGGGGCCCCGGTGGAGGCCGTGGCGGAGGCCCCGGCGGAGGCCCCGGTGGCGGTCCCATTGACACCCCCGGAGGAGGCCCCGGTGGAGGCCCCGGTGGCGGTCCCATTGACACCCCCGGCGGAGGCCCCGGCGGAGGCCCCGGCGGAGGCCCCGGCGGAGGCGAGGAGAGACAGCGGGCGGGAGAGCAGGGTCAGCGGGCGGGAAACGAGGCCGGCCATGACGGTGGAGGGTGAGCGACGTCACGTGGAGGGTGACTCACTCTGTAGAACAGGGGGAGATCACACAAACTCCACTCACTCACTCTGTAGAACAGGGGGAGATCACACAAACTCCACTCACTCACTCTGTAGAGCAGGGGGAGATCACACAAACTCCACTCACTCACTCTGTAGAACAGGGGGAGATCACACAAACTCCACTCTCTCACTCTGTAGAACAGGGGGAGATCACACAAACTCCACTCTCTCACTCTGTAGAACAGGGGGAGATCATACAAACTCCACTCTCTCACTCTGTAGAACAGGGGGAGATCACACAAACTCCACTCACTCACTCTGTAGAACAGGGGGAGATCACACAAACTCCACTCACTCTGTAGAACAGGGGGAGATCACACAAACTCCACTCACTCACTCTGTAGAACAGGGGGAGATCACACAAACTCCACTCTCTCACTCTGTAGAACAGGGGGAGATCACACAAACTCCACTCACTCACTCTGTAGAACAGGGGGAGATCACACAAACTCCACTCTCTCACTCTGTAGAACAGGGGGAGATCACACAAACTCCACTCACTCACTCTGTAGAACAGGGGGAGATCACACAAACTCCAATCACTCACTCTGTAGAACAGGGGGAGATCACACAAACTCCACTCTCTCACTCTGTAGAACAGGGGGAGATCACACAAACTCCACTCTCTCACTCTGTATAACAGGGGGAGATCACACAAACTCCACTCACTCACTCTGTAGAACAGGGGGAGATCACACAAACTCCACTCTCTTACTCTGTAGAACAGGGGGAGATCACACAAACTCCACTCTCTCACTCTGTATAACAGGGGGAGATCACACAAACTCCACTCTCTCACTCTGTAGAACAGGGGGAGATCACACAAACTCCACTCACTCACTCTGTAGAACAGGGGGAGATCATACAAACTCCACTCTCTCACTCTGTAGAACAGGGGGAGATCACACAAACTCCACTCACTCTGTACAACAGGGGGAGATCACACAAACTCCACTCACTCTGTACAACAGGGGGAGATCACACAAACTCCACTCTCTCACCCTGTAGAACAGGGGGAGATCACACTAACTCCACTCACTCTGTACAACAGGGGGAGATCACACAAACTCCACTCACTCTGTAGAACAGGGGGAGATCACACAAACTCCACTCTCTCACTCTGTAGAACAGGGGGGGAGATCACACAAACTCCACTCACTCACTCTGTAGAACAGGGGGAGATCACACAAACTCCACTCTCTCACTCTGTAGAACAGGGGGAGATCACACAAACTCCACTCTCTCACTCTGTAGAACAGGGGGAGATCATACAAACTCCACTCTCTCACTCTGTAGAACAGGGGGAGATCACACAAACTCCACTCACTCACTCTGTAGAGCAGGGGGAGATCACACAAACTCCACTCACTCGCTCTGTAGAACAGGGGGAGATCACACAAACTCCACTCACTCTGTAGAACAGGGGGAGATCACACAAACTCCACTCTCTCACTCTGTAGAACAGGGGGAGATCACACAAACTCCACTCACTCACTCTGTAGAACAGGGGGAGATCACACAAACTCCACTCACTCTGTAGAACAGGGGGAGATCATACAAACTCCACTCACTCACTCTGTAGAACAGGGGGAGATCACACAAACTCCACTCTCTCACTCTGTAGAACAGGGGGAGATCACACAAACTCCACTCACTCACTCTGTAGTACAGGGGGAGATCACACAAACTCCACTCTCTCACTCTGTAGAACAGGGGGAGATCACACAAACTCCACTCTCTCACTCTGTAGAACAGGGGGAGATCACACAAACTCCACTCACTCTGTAGAACAGGGGGAGATCACACAAACTCCACTCACTCACTCTGTAGAACAGGGGGAGATCACACAAACTCCACTCACTCACTCTGTAGAACAGGGGGAGATCACACAAACTCCACTCACTCTGTAGAACAGGGGGAGATCACACAAACTCCACTCACTCACTCTGTAGAACAGGGGGAGATCACACAAACTCCACTCACTCACTCTGTAGAACAGGGGGAGATCACACAAACTCCACTCACTCACTCTGTAGAACAGGGGGAGATCACACAAACTCCACTCACTCACTCTGTAGAACAGGGGGAGATCATACAAACTCCACACACTCACTCTGTAGAGCAGGGGGAGATCATACAAACTCCACTCACTGTGTAGAACAGGGGGAGATCACACAAACTCCACTCACTCACTCTGTAGAGCAGGGGGAGATCACACAAACTCCACTCACTCACTCTGTAGTACAGGGGGAGATCACACAAACTCCACTCACTCACTCTGTAGAGCAGGGGGAGATCACACAAACTCCACTCACTCACTCTGTAGAACAGGGGGAGATCACACAAACTCCACTCTCTCACTCTGTAGAACAGGGGGAGATCACACAAACTCCACTCTCTCACTCTGTAGAACAGGGGGAGATCACACAAACTCCACTCTCTCACTCTGTAGAACAGGGGGAGATCACACAAACTCCACTCACTCACTCTGTAGAACAGGGGGAGATCACACAAACTCCACTCACTCACTCTGTAGAGCAGGGGGAGATCACACAAACTCCACTCTCTCACTCTGTAGAACAGGGGGAGATCACACAAACTCCACTCACATTCACTCTGTAGAACAGGGGGAGATCACACAAACTCCACTCACTCACTCTGTAGAGCAGGGGGAGATCACACAAACTCCACTCACTCACTCTGTAGAACAGGGGGAGATCACACAAACTCCACTCACTCACTCTGTAGAACAGGGGGAGATCACACAAACTCCACTCACTCTGTAGAGCAGGGGGAGATCACACAAACTCCACTCTCTCACTCTGTAGAACAGGGGGAGATCACACAAACTCCACTCACTCACTCTGTAGAACAGGGGGAGATCATACAAACTCCACTCTCTCACTCTGTAGAACAGGGGGAGATCACACAAACTCCACTCACTCACTCTGTAGAACAGGGGGAGATCACACAAACTCCACTCACTCACTCTGTAGAACAGGGGGAGATCACACAAACTCCACTCACTCTGTAGAGCAGGGGGAGATCACACAAACTCCACTCTCTCACTCTGTAGAACAGGGGGAGATCACACAAACTCCACTCACTCACTCTGTAGAACAGGGGGAGATCATACAAACTCCACTCTCTCACTCTGTAGAACAGGGGGAGATCACACAAACTCCACTCACTCTGTATAACAGGGTGAGATCACACAAACTCCACTCACTCACTCTGTAGAACAGGTGGAGATCACACAAACTCCACTCTCTCACTCTGTAGAACAGGTGGAGATCACACAAACTCCACTCTCTCACTCTGTAGTACAGGGGGAGATCACACAAACTCCACTCACTCACTCTCTAGAACAGGGGGAGATCACACAAACTCCACTCACTCACTCTGTAGAACAGGGGGAGATCACACAAACTCCACTCACTCACTCTGTAGAACAGGGGGAGATCACACAAACTCCACTCACTCACTCTGTAGAACAGGGGGAGATCACACAAACTCCACTCACTCACTCTGTAGAACAGGGGGAGATCACACAAACTCCACTCTCTCACTCTGTAGAACAGGGGGAGATCACACAAACTCCACTCACTCTGTAGAACAGGGGGAGATCACACAAACTCCACTCACTCTGTAGAACAGGGGGAGATCACACAAACTCCACTCTCTCACTCTGTAGAACAGGGGGAGATCACACAAACTCCACTCACTCACTCTGTAGTACAGGGGGAGATCACACAAACTCCACTCACTCACTCTGTATAACAGGGGGAGATCACACAAACTCCACTCTCTTACTCTGTAGAACAGGGGGAGATCACACAAACTCCACTCACTCACTCTGTAGAACAGGGGGAGATCACACAAACTCCACTCACTCACTCTGTAGAACAGGGGGAGATCACACAAACTCCACTCACTCACTCTGTAGAACAGGGGGAGATCACACAAACTCCACTCTCTCACTCTGTAGAACAGGGGGAGATCACACAAACTCCACTCACTCTGTAGAACAGGGGGAGATCACACAAACTCCACTCACTCTGTAGAACAGGGGGAGATCACACAAACTCCACTCTCTCACTCTGTAGAACAGGGGGAGATCACACAAACTCCACTCACTCACTCTGTAGTACAGGGGGAGATCACACAAACTCCACTCACTCACTCTGTATAACAGGGGGAGATCACACAAACTCCACTCTCTTACTCTGTAGAACAGGGGGAGATCACACAAACTCCACTCTCTCACTCTGTAGAACAGGGGGAGATCACACAAACTCCACTCACTCTGTAGAACAGGGGGAGATCACACAAACTCCACTCTCTCACTCTGTAGAACAGGGGGAGATCACACAAACTCCACTCACTCACTCTGTAGTACAGGGGGAGATCACACAAACTCCACTCTCTCACTCTGTAGAACAGGGGGAGATCACACAAACTCCACTCTCTCACTCTGTAGAGCAGGGGGAGATCACACAAACTCCACTCTCTCACTCTGTAGAGCAGGGGGAGATCACACAAACTCCACTCACTCACTCTGTAGAACAGGGGGAGATCACACAATCTCCACTCACTCACTCTGTAGAACAGGGGGAGATCACACAAACTCCACTCACTCACTCTGTAGACCAGGGGGAGATCACACAAACTCCACTCACTCTGTAGAACAGGGGGAGATCACACAAACTCCACTCACTCACTCTGTAGAACAGGGCGAGATCACACAAACTCCACTCACTCACTCTGTAGAACAGGGGGAGATCACACAAACTCCACTCACTCACTCTGTAGAACAGGGGGAGATCACACAAACTCCACTCACTCACTCTGTAGAACAGGGGGAGATCACACAAACTCCACTCTCTCACTCTGTAGAACAGGGGGAGATCACACAAACTCCACTCACTCACTCTGTAGAACAGGGGGAGATCACACAAACTCCA